GGCTGTGCAGTTTGTAGTAGAGCACACTAACATAAGCTCCAGTGGATTTCAATTTACTTTTTAGCATCAGTGGTGATTTAAGTAATGAGTTCTACTCTATGGTTAGTAGGTCAACATTTGTGGTTTCTATTTAATTTGCCAGAATTTCCTTTCTTTTGTTTTCTCTTTTCTTTTTTTAGACATGACTTCTTTTACCTCTAATGCCATCCTTTTCCTTACTGCAATTGGTGAAAGCTTTTTTTGTTTATTTTAAAGTCGTCTGAAGCAGTATAAATATACTCTGAGCCTCTAATTATGGTATTTTTTTTTCTGTGCCACCTGCAAGCATTTTACTTTTTTAGCTGCATAGTTAATTTTCTTTAAGTTACAAATTTTATGTAGTTTCCCTTTTTAAAACTTATTGCTATGTAAAGTAGAGTACTCTTGGCTTTTTCTCTTCTCCAAATATATTGAATTTGCACAAGAATTGTTATAGGCAGCTTGTCTGTTGTTTGTAGAGACAGCAAGCAAAATTCCCTCTCTCTCCTGCGTCTTCTAAATGGTTGTTCCAAAAAGCAGATTTTTATGATGTCTGAAAAGATATTATCAGCATCACAGCTCAGTGAAACTTTCACAGTGTTAATATGGGCTACTCTGGTCTCCCATTATTACTTTGTTTCTTCTCCATGCAGATTTGGAATGGACGAATGAACCATGTCTTATGGTTAATACATGGATTCAGCAAATTAGATTATTTTAGTTCAATTCATACCTTCATCAGTCACCCTTTTGCAGTAACAATTGGTAAATCCTGTGAAAGCCTTTCGAAAATTTGTCTGGTGGGGACATTGACAAGACCAGGCAGCCTTTGATTGGATATAATACACATGTTTTGTTACAATTTTTTTGTCCCAGTAAAATTTTTCAATAAAACAGCAATGAATGAAAAAATATTTTATTCATTAAGTTCTCTGTTTACCAGCCTGGTAAATGTAAGTGACTATCTGAATTTTGTATTTGTTTACAACAGATTAGTCGCAGTGGGCTGGAAGCTTTTCTATGTTGATGAAATTTGGTAGTATAATTTTGAATTTGAATGAAAAATAATGCTTTCAATCAGCTTTTTTTCATGTTGAATAATAGAGATTACTCTTCTCATGTATTAGAACATCTAGGTTTTCCTATAGATCTTATGTTCACATGGGTGGTGAACTGAATAGATGATGAAGTTCATTAATAGAACATAGAAAAGCTTTCAGCAGAGCCTGGTTACTCAGCTTACGTATATCAATTTAGTAACATCAGTTCCACACTGCTATGATAATTTACACCAGCTGAGGTTCTGGGCACTGATCCTTTTTATTGTGTCTTGACTTTTCTAGCACGTAGGCTAAGCAACATTTGATAACCATATGTTTAGTGTATTGTGCCAGTAGAATAGGACTTAGAAGGTGGAGTGTGGGAAGAGTGGGAATTGCAAACAAGTATTGTTAGATTTTATTGACTTCAGAATGTGGCATAAATACAATGTCAGGTTCTCTATAAAACAAGGCCGCCATGTGGAGTCAAGACATACAGTGATATCCTGTAAAAATTAGTAAAGAAGTCTTAAAATTAGATTTAATTGGATGTATTTTCTTCTAAGTTTATATCTTTAAAAATTTAGTAATCTCAAAGTAAAGTTTTGAAAATGCAAACCCAGTATGTAAATGTGCATCTAATGCATCAGACTTCTGAAACATGTTTGAGTCTTTATATTTTACTTCAGCCTCCATGAACAGGCAGAAAGCTTTTCACTGTTTGTGGGAAGACAGAAGAGCTTCTCTTTGGAGCTCACCCCTTTGTGCTAGTGTGATTGAAGGGAGCTGTAAAATAGTAACTGCTGATTATGCAAGAACTACCTAGGTGTGTGAGTATTCTGTGAATTTCAGCTTTCTATGGACACTTGGGTGATCAGTGTACATCCTCTTAGGAACTCTGCAGGGAATGAGTGTGGATGATGATCAGTGGGGCAGAAAGGAACTACAAAAACAAGCATGGATGGAGAACTGAGTGCATTCCAGTGGAAAACTCAACTGTATAAAAAGAATTGGGCATCTGATTGTGTCAATCTTTTCATGTTTCATCTGTTGCATGTAAAAAATGGTTCTTTTTTCAAGTCTAAAAAAAGTACTTGCTTTTAGAACAGAATGACTTCTTCTGAGTTGAAGGGAGAAAAAGTTACAGTAAATTGGAAAATATTTGGGTCTGCAAACTTCTTTCTGGAAGTTTCAAAGTCCAGAAAGCACACTCTCAAAACTTTGAGGTTTAGCAAACTGCACTGTGGTATGAAGTTTAAATGAGGAAGTTTAGTAACACACCACAAAGTGTCCCTTGGGTTATGAAAAATCACTTCTGTGCTACTTCTGGTTTAGTTAGTTATTAATTGTAAGCCAATTAGTATTAGACACAAGTCATTTAGCAGATCTTTTTTTTTTTCTGCAGAAGGTATGAACGAAAAAACTCTTACTTGTGAATATAAGCAGTTGTGCTTTCATGCCAGTATCAAACCCTCACATTTTAAAAACAAATGCCTAACAAAGACTTTCATTTCAGCATTCATCTAGGACCTATTACTGCAGATACTCTGAACTGTTCCTTAGTGGGAAAAATGAAGACAGCACATCGCTAATTTAGTAACATTTTGATTACACAGATAGAAACAGAAAAAAATACATTTTGATCCACTTTGGGTTATCCAAATAATTCATCTGCAAAATTTGTTTCACTAAATCTGTTGGCATTTGCAGTCACTGAAATATAGCTTAAAGGCATTGTATTTTTCTTGGCTAGAGGCTACCTTGGTAACTTGTGTTGTATTTGCCCACAAAGACTCAGTGCTAGTTACTGCCATCATTTCCCTGAGCACATGTTTCTACTTTTAAACCCAAGTGCTGTCCTTACAATGTAATGACCTCCCTTCATTTGGCAGAGCCCTAGTCCAAGAGGCTGTGTAAGGAAGATTGCAGACTGACTTCAGTGAGCTCCAGGGTCTGATGGCAATAGTCTTCCAGTAGAGGGGGTGTGGTGGACATCCTCTGGGTTGTGGGTCTGAAACATCTTAGATTACTCAGCCATATTTGTCAGCTTAACACCAGCGGGCAGCTCTATCCGCTAGCTGCACTGACACCTTGCTTTGTTATCCTTCCGTGCAGCTTTTACTTCCTCCCCTCGTGTGACAGTCAAGGAGGCTGCTGCTGGAACAGGCAATAGAGCTTCCTTACCCTGCTTTTCCAATACTGTGATCAGTGCCATTAACTCAGTTTAGTAATGGGGGGTAAATTCAAGCTGCTGAAAAAGTTGCAATGCATCCCTTGTAGATAGTAGTAAAGACATAAAATTGTACTAACACGTCAGATACTGGTGAGACACTGAGATAGCAATGCTAAAAAGTTGGTATGTTGCTATTAAAATACTGGTTTGTTGGAGCCCCATTTATTTCAACTTGTATGTTTTCTAAATTTGTTTCAGGGGAAGTGAATGTCAAGTACCACACTTCATTTTCAAATGTTATTGATAAAATTCTACTTCAATGAAAAGAGATTTAAAATTTTTCACAGTGTTGTTTCTGGGTTAGCAGAAATTCTCATCTCAAAACCACCATTTTTCCCCTAATATTTGTTACTAAACATTCTGGTTGAAATTCCTTTCTCAAAAATAAGAAAGCCTGCCTGATCATGGCCGTATTTTGAATTATGTGAGTTGATACAACTCAACTTGTTTTTTTCTGTTAGAATTCATTAATAGGTAAACAAAACTGTTGTTTATCAGTAGACACTATAAGAGCTACACAGAGATGTTGCAGTTTGCATGGGCTTTGAAAGCCTTTTTTTTTCTTTCCTCTTTTCATTCCTTCTGGACATGGAGCCTTACACAGTGTGGCTCCGGTTGCCTGTCTAGGGCCTCTACTGCCTACCATGTTGTGAGTAACTACTCCTGTAATTGTGCTGCATATTTACAGCACAGTCTCTGCTAAAATTAAGAGTATTTTGCAATAATTACAGTGAACAAAAATGGGAAAACTAAGTCAGAAACCAAATATTTCTGTTGATATATGGACAGTTGCAGGAACTGAGGGATGTAGTTTTGAATGCAAAAACTAAAATTCTATAGGACAAGTCAAATTGCAGAGCAGACTGTTGGTCACATACCTTCAAAGACTAAAATTTTAATGAAAACAGTAAACTATGGACCAGTATAACCTGCAGGCTGCTGTACTCTTCTAAGAGACATCAAAAACTTCTTTTTGATATTGTACTATCTATTTTGAAAAGTGATTGGAATATACTACCAAATAAAAATCTTTCCTTTCTCAGTCTTTCTGGGTCTGTATTTGTGTCTTGACAGTGGTTGCAATGTCAGTAATTATTGGAGTTTCTAAGAAACTGCATCATGTTTCATGTATAATACTTACTACTATCTTACTAACATTAGGGTGTTAGTCTTCTATGTTTAATTTTTTAAAAAACTAAGTAATTTTGAAAGTATTTTAATTTTATGGGATTTTCTTGGTCACAAACAGATGCTGTGCTATAGCTCATGTTTGACTGGAATGTTTAGGATCTGTAAATTTTTTATGTTTAATTTGTGAAGTTACAGTAGTATGTATCTTAAGTGTTACCAATAAGATACATACATTTTTAACATTGAAATACAAACACAGTTTCTTATTTACTTTTACTGTTTTGGATATGTTTTTGAGCACATGTTTCATGTGCTTTGCTGTTTGCTTCAAGTCAGTACAATTCTTCCTCAGACCTCCCATGCTGTTAAATGTATGGGTACATACAAGCTTCCAAGCACCCCTAAAGAAAACACTTTCAGGTCATGTCATATAACCTGTATTATAAGAGCAGCTGTGGGTAAGATTCTAAAAAATGAATATCCTGATTTTTTTACATGTTTTTATTGGTTTGGTTTTTAGATGTGAGACAGAGAGTTGTCATAATATAATACATTGGTCTCTCTTTTTTTCTTAATAGATAAAAAAATATTTTGAACTTGAGCCACTTGCACGTGGAAAGCGCTGGATTCTTAAACCCTGCTCCTTGGATGATATGGAAGCAGTAAAAGACAGCTTCTCCCTTCTAATAAACTTGCTAGAAGAGAGAGACTTCGAACCTTCAAGAATGTGAAAGCCAAGAGAAAGAAGAGGTTCCCACGCATCACTGTACCTGCTCACTCTGTCACAGCTTAATTGCAGCGTAGTATCAAGGCTGAGCTGTGATATGTTGTTCATACAGAGTTAATGCAGAATGTCCTTTGGTTAAAATAAATGTTCTGTGAATCAGGTACACAGCTATTTCCAGTAAAGTTGTCTACACTACTGAAGTAGAAAGTCCCTCTTTGTTTACCACTATTTCTGCACACTGCATGTTGCTTTCTTGCACCACGATCATCCTTGGTAGAAAAATTTACATGCACAAAAATAATACAGTCCATAAAGGAGGAATTCCACATGTTACCTTGAATTTTAAAAATAAGTAATGTCTAAAGAATTTATGAGTCTAATTTAGCTTGTTTGTTGACCTCACATTATGGAAAAGCACAGCCACTAAGAATCTTAATAGGATACCTAAAACACAAGCAGTTTCATGTTAATGCAAAGGTTATTCCTGAGGTTTTATTAAGTGAAAACATAGTTGAGGTAGTGGACTCCACAATGTAGTTGAGTGTCTTCTAAAGTCACTGCAAAACCCTGCCAGAGGCAGTATGGTATTTTCCTGGAAGTTTGCTGAAAAACAAAATGAACAAACAGATGTGCACAGATAACAGTACTTGGGGAAATCAGTTGACATAAACAGGTGATCTAAGTAAAAAGATTTTTAGAAGTATATGAAAGATTTTACAAATATACAGAAGTTGAATAAAGTAATAATTTTCATTGAAAGTAGTCTTCCGTAAGAAAAGTGGAGCAAATATTGGTTAGTTCATCTGTGGAGGCTTTATTACTAGTTAAAAGTATAAGTGATTCTTAAATACTTCCTTTATCACTCATTTGTAGACTACTACTGTTATTGTAACATTGCCAAGGCATCTATCCAGTAATTAAGGGTCTTCCAGTGTTTGTACTATAAGGTTCTCTTTTCAAGGGGATTATATCTTGTTCTTTCAAACTTCCTCTGGGCTAAATGTTACTTAGAAGGCGAAAAAGTAGTCATTGGAAACAACATTTGTAATACATTTAGAAGAAGTTGATTTGGGTCACGTAACACAGTCCACTTTTCCTCTTTCCTTGTTTTCCCCACTGTAGATTTGCAGTATTTTAGCTACCTTTTGTTGATTTTTTAAAAAACTCATAAACTTATTTTGTCCATTGAAGAAATGTGCCAGACCACTGGTTGACAGTGACAACAGGGTATGTGCAGATCAGTCACTGGACTGGTGCATGCCTTGAATGCTGTGCCTTGTGCATTCAGCTACCCTTGTGCATGAGTGTCTGCAAACACAAACTCGAGTGAGGTGTCATTAGTTCCTCATCAGCTCTGCTTCTGTCTTGAAACACACAATGCCTTGTTTTCAGGGCTTTAAGCAACATCTCTTTCCACTCTGAGCATTTATCTTCTGTTTGAAGTTTATTGTAGTTCCTTACTAGTTTATTTGGGGATAAGAAAATAGAAAACATCAGCTTTTGAAGGCTCATAAAAGCCATTTCTCTATTAATTGTAATTTTGCTCTTTGTTAAACAAAATGTTTCTCATACGTATTTTAGTTTACTTTTCATTTGCCATTAATTTCTTGCATTGCTCCCACTGTTGTAACTGCTTCCTATTATCAAAAAGAAGCTGGGAAAACTGGTAAACTCCTTGTTTAATTTTGAAATGGAATAGGCAGGAAGCCTGAAGGGCATGTCCTTGCTTTGTTTTGTGTTCTCTTTCCTGTCAGGTCAATTGTCTCACTGCTAATACTCTTGGAAACAACCAAGAACTGGAATTGTTCATTTTAAAGCACAGAGGAGCCCTGCTTTGATTCAGTTCTCTCTGCACACTTTAGTCAGGACCCAGCTGCCCATCAGTTTCTCTTGTGAGGGCTAAGGAGGTTCCCTTCCCTGGATTTAAAGGAGAACTGAATCTAATTTACATTTCCAAACTCCCTAATTGCTGACATGAGCTTAAAGGCTACAGAGTCCCCAGATTTCCATAAGGTCCCTAAATTTCTGTTTTATTTAGGCACAGTGAAAAATAAGCAGGGAGGAGGAGTAGGAGCATTATTTCCAGAGAAAGCAGGCAGTTTGAGGAGGCAAAATGAGGGATTCCAAGCTTTTACTGCTTTTTCATTGGCCATTAGTTAGAAGATGTAAAATAACATTTTTTTACTATTTTCCCCTGCTTTTGTTTAGCTATGGACCAAAAGGTACAGGAAATGAAAATAAGCCCAACTCTATTGAATTCTTGAAACTGTACTTATTTCTACCACCAGTGAGTTTGTCTGGTCCAAAAACTTTACTGGCTCCAAGTTTTGATTGTGATCTCCCGGCTATGCACTGTTTGAAGGTGCTACATAACTTAACATGGAAATGCCCAAGAAGTCCTTGATAATGTGGTTTTGGAGAATGCCAGTGACCATTTAGACTAGAACCTTTTGATACTTCAGTGTTTTTTCTTTAGGCAAATGTCAACTGCACAGAAGCAGTGATTTTAATTTTCAGAATTATTTTGAGTATGCTCTTTCTTACTAATATAGTGATCATTCCTCATCACAGGTTGAAACAATACCTCATAACTGCTGAAGGCTAAGACCAACACTTAACTTTACTTTGAATGTAGTACTTCTGTGGTTTTGTGTTGTAGATGGACTTAATGGATGTGTACCTTTTAAATGTCTATAAACAACTTCACCTTTTTATGAGGGGATAACAATGTTCATAGCAGCTCATGTCACACTTCCTTGTCTATAGTGTTGTTGAATGCTCTGGCTATGGTAGAATATGTAAGCACCATGCAGTTTTCAGATAACCAATCTTAACTGCTTTGGTTTTTTGTTTGTTTGTTTTAATCTTTCCACATGTGTTTGTCATTTAGGTGGAATAAACTTGGGCACTAGGCTCTACTTTCCATGCAAGTTCATTAAGGAGTGAACATTGTCTTTTTAAAAAAAGATATTGTGCTTTAATGTTCTTTAGCCATCTGTTAAATTACTTTGTGTGTGTGTGTGTGTGTGTGTGTGTGTGTGTGCCCACACTGGGCTTCTTCTCAGACCTGTGGCTGTCTGCGGTGTCTCAGCCGTCAGAATGAAAACATTATCAATCAGTATCCAACAACAGCTGGTTTTGACAACCTTCTGTCTGCTGCCTAATGCTTTACAACTCATCAGTAAGGCTTCTTTGTCTGCCCACTCTGAGCTGGTAATTTTAACTGCTTCATGTTTTGTCCTGTACTTGTACTTTTGGCATTTGTATGGCTTAAAAGTTAAGTCTTAGTGGGTTTTGATATTCTTTCTTGCTGTATTATGCTCCATGTGTATCTTAGCTTGCCTATTCAAATGCGCTATACAAAAATCTGTGATGTATTATTTCGTTTAACTTCTTGCATTTCATTATATTTATAGAAGTTGCAGATTTTTGTACCGTATTACTTAATACAGTTGCCTTTTTGTAATGGCAATTAATTTATATTACAAAAGTTTGTATCTTTACTGTAGTCAAAAGTATTAGTTAACTGCCATATTATCTTGACTTTATACTAAAAATACAGTATCAACATAAGTTGACCCAATCAAGCGGTCAACTGCTGACATGGGGAACTTGTACTGTTTGTGATTTATACATGATTTCCACTATCAGGAAAAAAAAAAAGAAAGAAAAAGAAAATAAAATAAACACTGTGTAGAACTGACTTGATAAGTTTTTGTTTCTTGAGTAAGTAGCCAGTTTGGGAGCATGGCATATTACCTTGATGTGGATTTTTCAAGATAAATTATTTACTCATAAGTGAAAACAAATACTACTGTATAATTACTGGTACATCATACATAGTTGCAAATTCACATACATATGTATGAAATAGAAACTTCCAAAATCGGCTGATTTCTTCCACAGCAAGATGTTTTTACTCTGGAAGAACATCTGAAAGATATTGCAGGTTTATTGGTGAAACACGGATTGGAATAATCCCTACACAATTGTTCCATAATATTAAACTGAGGGACATGTTTATGTGACTAGAAATTCTTTTTAAATAAATGACACGGCAAAATACATATACAAAACACAAGTTACAGAAGCTGAGCAAAGGAATATATTCTGGGAAAAATAGAAGGTTGCCGAAATGGCTCAATGTTGTCCTGTCAAACACTGTTTGAGTAGAAGGTGCTCTCACAATGCAAGTTGTAACAGCTGATGGAAGAACACTGCTAAATCAGACTGGAGATGGTAGTGCAGTTACTGAGGTATGCTTTTCTCATGTCACTGTTTTTTAAATCTGCCTCTTGACCAAGCCTAGGAATGAAATGAAAGATTTGTAAACTGAGAATTTTTTTAAATTGTTTGTTTCATACAAATAGGAACTGAAAACCAGCTAATCATGCCTCATTTGATAGCTCTTAAAAGATTTTTCATTAGCTCATTAGCCCTTTGACCTAATAGTTTAAACAAATAAAAACATCTGTTTGTGTCAGCTGTAGGGTTAGTCATCCAGGGCCCAGGTTAACATGAGGATAAGAGGGAGTCCCATATCCAATATAAAAACAAAAACCAACCTTTTTCAGCATCTGTAGTTGAAAAGGACACCTGAAATCAAGTAGGCTGTACTGAATTCTGTTAGATGAAGAAACTGAAGATCATTATCCTTTTCAATCCTCTGCCCTCATAAGTGAACTGACTAATTTCCTTGTGTGGGTTTGACTGAATTTTAATTTAAATAGTTCTGATACATTTATTCTTAATTCTAGCTGTTTATAATGTATTTGAGCTTTTATCACAGCTATGTTTAGGGAAACCAAAATAGGCTGTATGTAATCCTTGTTCATTATATATGAATTTCATAGGAAAATGTAATACGTGGTATTCTGGTGGGTGTTAATGGGATATCATGTTCAGCACTTCCATTTATAATGTCTTAAATATACCTTGATTTTTTAATCACCAAGTCTCTCTAGGAAAGGCAGATATGTGAATGTCAATATTGGTACTAACAGTAGTCTGTGGAGCTCCAGTTACCTGTAGCAATAAACTGGAAGAGAACAGAAGTATTCTAATCTTGTCAGGTTTACAGAAAATCCAACTGAAGTAATCAGCAAAAGGCCCAGCACTGGTTTGGGATGATTACAGTAAAAGAGACACTCTTCACCTGAAAATAGCCTGAATTGCATAATATTCTGAGTTGGAAGGAACCCACAACAATCATTGAGTCCAACTCCTGGTCCTGCACAGCACCATCCCCAAGAATGGTGCCATGTGCCTGAGAGCATTGTTCAGAGACTCCTTGAGTTCTGTCTCATTGCTTCTGTGACTACATCCCCCAGGAGCCTGCTCCAGTGCTCAAACACCCTCTGGGGGAAGAACCTTTCCCTGATATCCATCCTAAACATGCCCTGACACAACTCCAGGCCATTCCCTCAGGTCCTGACACTGGTCACTGGTCAGAGAAGAGATCAGGGCCTGCCCCTCTGCTTCCCCTCATGAGGACATTGTAGACTGTGATGAAATCTCCCCTCATCTCCTCTTCTCCAGGATGGTTTTGGTAAAGACCTTATTTGTAATAAAAAACGGCTGCAATTAATTTCTAAGCACAGAAACATATCCTCACACATGAAATAAACTATATATATAACTATATAGATGTATTTGAAAACCCTCCCTCTTGCAAGAGGCATGAATTTTACCTAAAAAATAACAACAAATAAAACTAGCCACCACAGTACTTCTTTTTCACCTATCACCTTGCAAAGGTGAAATGCTGTTGTTCATTTTATTACCATGAAATGTAACTATAATTTCTTGCATTTCAGTGTGCACTAGAAAGCATTTGTATGTAGTAAGTAAAAGAAAAAAAATCCTTTTGTGGTTTTGCAACTTCCACATATTGAGAGCTGCCATCTTTCTAAGGAAGCATTGAACATTGAGGGATGGGAACTTTGTAACTTTGTTTAAAACAGTGCCAGCTGAAATGCTAAATCATGGAAATCCCAAACAAAAGGTCTGGTGCTGTTCAAATGCATAATCCCAGAGATGGCAGGCAGGAGAGAGGAAATCATGACTTGCATATGAATATTGGAAAACCAAAACAAGTTTAATGGCCAATCACACAGCAAAGTATTTGGTGTTTTCACAATATGACAGTCTTGAATTAGAAAGATTGATAGATATTCCAGGATCAAAAAGGCATCCTGTAAAAAAATGTAAAGAGTCTAATTTTATAGTAGATTACATTTTGGGCTTGTTAATTTTGACATAGTCCTTTGAAAGCAATAATTCCTGCTGTGCATTAAATTTGGCACTTTAAAAGTCTGATCTATGGAAATTAATCCATTTTGTGTTCTGTTAACATACACTAAAATAGTATTTTCTGTCTTTTGTCATCTTCTTATTTATTTGAAAGCACATATCCTAGTATTTCCTCAGAGACAGTTATTCCCAAATTGCTGTATTATTGTAACTTTCAAAGACCCCATTTCTGACAGTATCAAATTTTAATGCTTGTGAAAACAAATACCTGTTTGCAAAACTACATCAGAACTATTTTATTATAGCATTGCCACATATGGTATTTTTGTAGGACCTGGAGATTCAAGATGTGAATGGGATTGTCACCATTTAAAATTAACACTGATTAACTGCAGCATCTGGAAAACTTTTTTTTCTTTTTTTTTTTTTTCCTAACAGTGGAATGAAAAATGCAATATCATCCTTTTCTCAAGATTTATCTTGCTGCAGAGAAGAAATTAGCACTCATTTTCAGTAACATGAGTTATAACAGCATTTAACAGTCCATTTTTAATAAATTACTTTGTTTGCCAACTAAGTGGTTGTAATCCTCTCTGGTTTACACATGTGTGTCAGAATTGAAAGAATTGAACTGAACTTCCTTCAATTATTTGAAACTAAGGTTGATTTTTAAAAATGCTAATTGCCTTGTGTAAAATATTTTTTGCATAGTTTGCAGGAATGTGATTGATGCAGGAAAGTTCACTTTTGCCTTTAAGATATAGAGCATGACCTTTTGGTTACAGTAAATACAGTACTGCAAGTCTGTGAAAGTCATCACATATACTAAAGGTATTGAGACCGTTTACCTCACATTCCTTTCTATTAGCTTCCACAATTAACATGATCCACAGCTGAAAAAATAATTCTGGTTGTCAGTGATAAATGGAGCAAAATCGTCAATCACTGAAGTTGACAGTATTATTTTTAAAAGATATTGCAAACAAATGTTTACCCAAAGATAGCGGTATGTTGCTGAGGCTTTTTTCTTTGGGGTTCTCTCATTTCATTCACATGGCATGCTGACTTCAGGGCTCACTCTCAGCCTAAAGAGAGCTTCTTTTCCTTTTCTTGATTTTTTCTTTTTTTAATTTCTGGAGCATTAAGAACATCAAACATCCATGCACCAAGGTCTTTTACCTCTTACCAGGAAAGAGTACATTCCTGGTAAACTTCTGAGATCTGAGACAGAACATCAGCTCTTTGTTTATTTGTTTTCTTTTCTTAGTATGATGTGCAGACCTGAGATTTCAGTTCAGGCCTGTCTCTGCTGAGAGGTGCTTGTAACATAGGATTCTACTATTATGGGCTACATAAATATCTTGCCTATTTTTAGCACTTGCTTTTGATCTCTGAAGAATTTTAATATCAAGGTCAAATATGGTGGTTCCACATGTAGATGTATTGGTGACATAGACATTTAAGAAAATGTATGCAGTGTTTGTAGATTAGAAATATTTTGTTTTCTAGGTTCTCAATAAAGAGGACAAATCTTCCATAAAACTGCTGTGGGATGGTAAATTTTCTGTCTGCTTATGAGAGATTCAGAAGGCAGTTTTGCTTTTAGGTTTTGGTTCAGAGCAAATTAAACAGAAACTGTTTTTTCTTTCAAGTGTGGTACTTTATA